CTGCACCATGGCTTTGCTCTCCATAGGGCTGCAGTGCGGGGCACTCAAAGGTGGAGGCAGCTCAAACGAGTCTCAGGCCTGTGCACTCAGGCCTTAATTTACTTCTTAATTAAAGGTGTGTCCTTTTAATACCCATCTGCTTTGAGGGCAGATGCATATAGCCACTGCATGGATGCAGTGGAGTGCCCAGCAATCCAGCACCACTGAAGTGCAGCACCATGTATACAGGTCCCAAAATGCAGGACCACATAGACTTGTGGACTGGTTTGAGTTGGAAGGGACCTTAAAGCTCATCCAGTTCCACCCGCTGCCATCTGTCACATCCCAGAAACAGGCTGGGAGGGAAGTAGAGAGGTGAAGGATCAACTACTCACTCCTTGCTGGGGAAGATGGAGCCTTGTTCTCTAAAGAGGGGACAGTCAGGAGTGGGGTCAAGGTGAGGCATCAGCATTTCCATGTAATTCCACTCTGTTGAAGACATCTGGTGCCTGTGGGGCTGGTGGGGCAGCTCAGAGACATGCATGCTCAGGAAGAGGTGAGGTTTCAGGGCTGATTCACTGCAGGAGATGTTTGTGTGCAGCTTCGGACACCCCATCTGCACCAGGCAGCCAAGGGAGAGCAGGTCCCGGTGGCCAGTGTTTTCTTTGTGGACACATCCTACAACAGAGATGTGCAAGTGGTCAGAGGAGTCCCGCTCTGGGCTGTGGGAGCTCTCCATGGCTCCAATGAGACCTGAGCTCCAGCTCGGGACGAGGCATCCCCTGTGTGAGATAAACCATAGCCTTGGTTTGGCAAATACACCCTAAAGCACCTTCAAGGGCAGCCACTGACCAACAGCGCTTCAGAGGGGCCTGAACAAGCTGGGCCAGCTCCAGGTTGTGGTCCAGTGTCAGTAGTATGGCTCAGAGGAGTGTCCATGTGTGAGGAGTGGGGGGTCCCTCTGTGAGGAGTGGGGGCGTCCCTGTGTGAGGAGCTGGGGGGTCCATGTGTGAGAAGTGGGGGGACACACAGAGAAGCACCTCGTGGGTGCTCATCTGAGCAACTCAGGACTGCCTTTAGGTGCTCAGAGGGACAGGACCCTCTTGCCTGGCCCAGGCACCCTCTGCACCCCTGCATGGGTGCAGCCAGAACAAAGCTCCTGTTGTAGCCCAGCCAGAAGAGCTGAACCTACAGGGAAGAGCAATTAGTGGAGCTGTGATTATGCTGCAATTAGGAAGTGCTGTATGGGGCAAGCTGCAGAGAGGTGTCAGGCCAAGGAGGGCTACAGAGGACAACAGAAGCGGGTCGTGTGACCACCTTACCCCTGTGAACAAGGACCTCCTGCCCGGGTGTGTTCCCCAAACCAGACTCGGTGAGTCAGAGGGAAAATGTCTGTGTGCAGATCATCCAGTCTCGCAGCACCTACGCAGGCATGAATGTGCACACAAAGCAGGACATGGGCAAGGAAGGGCAGCGGCACCTCCTGCACACAGGGACACCGTCATGCACACCCACACAGGCCAGGGACATAGCACACGCATGCACACATGCACACACACACAGGGGCCAGGAACACAGCACACGCACAGCACATGCACACACACACAGGCCAGGGACACAACACACAGACACACACGCATGGGCTGGGGACACAGCAGATGCACACACATACAGGCCAGGGACACAGCACACGCACAGCACATGCACACACACACAGGCTGGGGGCACAGCATACACACAGCACATGCACACACACACGGGAATGGTTGCACTTGATGATCCTGAAGGTCTTTTCCACCCCAGTTGGTTCCATGATTTTATAAAGGCAGACTGAACAAGCCCAGGTCCATGGAGGACAGTCCATGGCAGCTGAACTATAGGCAGGGCACTCCACAAACAGTTGTGCTGAGCATGTGCCAGAAAAAGGTGATGGCAGAGTTCAGGACCTCACCATGCCTCTGCTCCCTCCACAGCCATCTCTGTCCCAGGCTCCAGCGAGGATCATGCCCCATGTTTTGCTCTAGGGCTGGTCACTGTGCCACAGCCTCAGCCCATGACACACCAGCCAGGCTCCTGGGGCTGCTGTGACACTGTCCTGTGGTGGCCAGATGCTGGATTGTCAGTTGGGCTCCTGTACTTTAGCACAGGGCAGGGCCACCTTGTCATCCCCAAGGGCGGGGAAGGGAAGGATTTAAATTGGGCTCTTGCCTGGGCTGCTCATCCTGGCTGAGCGGCAGCAGGAGGAGGAGGAGGAGGAGGAGGAGGATCAGATCCTACCGGGGATTCAGCCGCCCGGCACCCTGCCTGCAGGTACCAGGAGCTGTAGGGGATGCAGGGACTTTGCATCCACCCCAAAACCCAATGTTTGGAGGGCAGCTCAGCAGTGGTCTGGTGAGCAGGAGGTCTCCAGGCAGGACTTGGTCCTTTCTAAGAAGGGACAGTGTCAGAGTGGCACCAGGGCTGGATGGAGCTCTGCATCCTCATCACTTCTGAGCAGACGGGACACTGGGATGTGGGAGGGAAGCAGCCAGAGTTGAGGGACCTGCTCAAGCCTGCAGGCACCCAAGGCAGAAGATGCCCACCCTCGCGGTGGGTCTGGGTTGGAGCCATGCACTGGGATCGGGGGACAGCACCAGTTCACTACCTGGCGTGCAGCAGGGCTGGGGACCGCAGCAGGGCTGGGGACCGCAGCACGACCAGTGGCCCTGCTCCCTCCAGCTGGAAAACAGCTTCCATTTGGGCTGGGCTGCTGCAACAGCATGAAAGGACAACCAGGTCCTGCCCCAGGAGCTGCAGCCAAGCCCCAGCACCAGGAGGTCTGATTAGAGACCAGCTAATGACAGCTCGCAGTTGGGCAATGTCTTTGCTCTATAGGGTGTTTACACGACATCCATGTCCTACATAGGTGTTGCCTGCTCCAGGGTGTGACACAGTGCTCTGCTTGTCCTGTCCCAGTGCCAACAGCCGATCACCTCCTGAAGGGCTCAGCTGCATCCAGAGGCCAGGCAGGGGAGGGCAGAGGAGCTGCTCCCTGGGGCTGGTGGAGCAGAGCCGCTGGCTGTAGAGAGCCTGAAGGCATGGGCATGGTCCCCAGAGAGGCTGGGGCTTGTCTGTAGCTGCTGGGATGAGCCTCTGCCCATCATGATCAACCAGCATCAATCCAATATTTAAATGGCTCAGAAGCACTGACTCAGAGACTTTCAGACCAGTCAGGTGAAGAGGCAGAGCTAAAGCTGTGACCCTCAATAAGCTGAAGGTGTCATTAATGTCACTCACTGCAGGTCATGGGAGATGGGTGTTCCCAAGGAAATGGTTTGGGTTTCAGTTCAGCTGTTTTCACAAGGCACTGGCTTCATCACCCTGCAATGCTGTAGATGCTGAAAGTTTACATGCTCCAAAGAGACTAACAGTATGTGAGACGTCCCTCGAGGAGGACTACACAGACGCAAAATGCATCCAGGTCCAGCTCAATGGAATCCCCTGAGCTGAAAACAGTCAAAGGTTGACTTAGAAACTGGGGAAATATCTCACATGTTCACTCTTCATCCTTCCCATTGTCCACTTATTGCTCAGGGTGGAAAGAAGACTCTGACTCCACAGACCTTTGACTGACTCTGTGTGGCTGCTCTGGTGGCTGCTCCAGGGCATGGTGGCTTCCTTCTGGAACACCTCAGACAGGCAGCTGGAGTAGTGGTTGAGGGATGCTGCATTTCCATGGGTGGGGGTGCCTACAGGATTGACCATCACTGGTCACACTCATTGCAAAGCCCATGCCTGGATGGGAGAGAGCACCCACAGCTCCCTGAGGTACCCACTTGCTAATCTTCACTTAAATATATATCATTTAACCCATCATTTACCCACATGGCAATTAGCTCATAGCAAAGATTGACTGTTTCTCCTGTCCCGCAGCACAGGAGCTCCCAGGAAACACTTTCCCTGAAAAGTGTGATTAAGCCACAGGCCCGGTGCCACCAGACCCACAAGGCTGACACCAGGGCTGGGCTCACAGGCTGGGTCCTGCAGGGCAGCCTGTGGTGGCCACAGGCAGTGGCCCAGGGCGGGCCCGGCCTGGACACAGAGCACCACATTCCAGAGGGCTCAGCCAGAGCATCCCAAACACCCTGTTTCCGTTTCCCTAAATATCTGGAGAGAGCACTGCATCAGACAAACCTTCCCAGTGACTCTGCCTTGTCCCCATTTGCTGGAACTGGTTAGAACAGTCCCGGAGTGGTATCTGGCACCATGAGCCCTCTCATGGACAGTGTCCATGTGCAGTCCAGAGGAGGCAGGACTAGTGCCAGCACATCTACACCAGTAGACCCCAGTTTTGGTGGACAGAGGAGTGTAACACGATGTGGCTAGAGGCTCTGGCAACCCAGTGACCTTAGAACAAGCAGAGACCCAGCACACATGGGCTGTGATGAGCCAGAACCCCTCTGTGTGCTGGGCTGCACCCACAGAGCATGAGCAGCAGCTCAGGGAGGGGATTCTATCCCTCTGCTGCGTGAAGGGGAGACCTCAGAGCAGCTCCCAGTGCCTAAAGGGGCTGCAGGAAACCTGGAGAGGGGCTTTGGACAAGGACCTGTAGGGACAGGACAAGGGGAATGGCTTGAACCTGCCAGAGGGCAGATTGAGATGAACTCTGAGGCAGAAGTTCTTCCCTGTGAGGGTGCTGAGGCGCTGGCACAGGGTGCCCAGAGAAGCTGGGGCTGCCCCATCCCTGGCAGTGTTCAAGGCCAAGTGGGACACAGGGGCTTGGAGCAACCTGCTCTAGTGGAAGGTGTCCCTGCCCATGGCAGTGGGTTGGGACTGGATGAGCTTTAAGGTCCCTTCCAACACAAACCAATCTGGGATTCTGTGATTCACACACACCATGAAAACTGCACAAGAAACCTCTGGCTCACCAAGATTTTTCTTTCTCTGTCCTCAGACAAACACGGTGCCCACAATTGCAGGACTGTTCCCCAGAGAAAATGCAGAAGATGAGTGGACCCCCTCCGAACAACAAGTCAACCAACATGGGAAGTAATCTGATTGAGGATGAACACAAAGACATGGGTGGTGGTGGGAGTAACTTCATAGCTGGAGTCTTCCTCCAGGCCATGAGTAAGAAGATGAGTATCTATGATGCCATGGTAAGGGGGCTGCTGACGCCTGGCACAGCCCTGGTGCTACTGGAGGCACAGGCTGCCTCAGGGCTCCTCACTGATCCTATGAGGAACCAGAAGCTGTCGGTGGAAGAAGCACTGACGGCCGGACTCATTGGCAGAGACTTCTACCAGAAGCTGCTGTCAGCTGAGGGAGCTGTCACGGGCTACACTGAACCATACACAGGCCACCAGATCTCCCTCTTCCAGGCCATGAAGAAAGAGTTCATTGTGAAGGAACACGCTGTCCGTTTGCTTGAGGCACAAATCGCCACCGGTGGCATCATTGACCCTGTGCACAGCCACCGCATCCCGGTGGAAGTGGCCCACAAGCGTGGGTACTTTGACCAGGAGATGTGCCAGTTCCTTTCTAACCCCAAGAACCAAATAAGAAGTTGCTTTGACCCCAACACCCATGAGAACCTCACCTACATGCAGCTCCTGCGCCGCTGTGTGCCCGACCCGGACACAGGGCTGCTGATGCTCCATGTGATGGACAAGGGCTCCGTGCTCCACCAGCTGAGCAAGGATGCTCGTAAAGCCCTGCAGGCTGCCTGCACCACGCTCAGTGTGGGGCTCTTCCAGGGACAGAGCGTCAGCCTCTGGGAGCTCCTCTTCTCCCGCTACGTGCCCGAGCACCAGAGAGAGGAGCTGCTGAGGAAGTACAAGGCGGGGACGGTCACCATCCCAGAGATGAGCACCCTCCTCACCACCAGCATCACTGGGGCAGGAATGAAAAATGGGCATTTGAGCTCATCCACAGTTACAGCCAACAATGAGGAGGGAGCGTCACAACCATCACAACCAGTTCAGGACATGCACTCCCAGGAGCAACAGTTGAGAAAGTCCCTGAAATCTGCAACCATCTATGTCACTGCTGGTGAATTCCAGGGGAAAAAGGTTTCCTTGCTGGATCTGCTTTTTTCCAAACATATCCCTCAAGGGAGGCGGCAGGGGCTGCTGGAGCTGTACAGAGCAGGGATACTGACCACAGAACAAGTTGCCATAGTGGTCACCACCATCATAAACAGAACTGCAGCTGCAAATGCTGTACTCAGGGCCAGTGCCAGAGGTCCACACAGGGCAATGACAAGGGCAGAGGAGAACGGAGGTGATTCTTCAACACAATATGCACAACTAGATAACACCTTGAAGTCTACTACCATTGATGTGCCAGCTGGTGACTTGCAGGGAAGGCAGGTCTCTGTGTGGGACCTGCTCTTTTCTGACTACATCCCCGAGGAGAAAAGGCAGGAGCTGCTGGAGCTGTACCATGAAAGGCTGTTAACTCTGGAGCAGTTAATAACTGTTGTCACCACTCTCGTCAAGAAAAAGGAATCTACAGGTAGGAAATTCCATGTTGCAGTCAAGGCTCCTAACAGGGACACCGTGTCAGCATCAGGAGAGAAGGATGGTGACTCCACCAAAGAAGAAGAACCATGGGAAACAGCCTTGAAAACCGCAGTCGTTGACATGGATGTCGGAGAGTACCGGAGCCACAAGGTCTCAGTGTGGGACCTGCTCCACTCCAAGTATATCCCTGAGGAGAACAGGAAGGAGCTCCTGGAGCTGTACCAGGCCGGAGAGCTAACCCTTGACCAGGTGAAAACTGTGGTGAGCACTATTGTGTCCAAGGCAGAAGCAGCAAGTGCAAAGGAGAGCGGTCCCAGG